AGCTGGTGCTGGTGCTGGTGCTGGTGCTGGTGATGCGGATGGCTTCATCTTACCTCGGCCGTTTTGGGGACGCTCTCGCAGAACACCTCGAGTTTAATGTCGCCTAGCGAAGTGTGGAGTGTGACGGACATGATGGCCGTCCTTTCTCCGCCGTCCAGCGGCGAGCAACAAGGAATGGCAAAGTTGGTGATGGATAAGAGGCGTTTGAAGCTTGAATTGAATTGGAGGTTCAAAGTTGCTACGCCGTTCCAGCCAAGGGTACATTTGGAATGTAGCTCCCGCGTCGATCTAAGCCTAATCGGGAGATGTTTGTGTGGCGCTACAAACCGGGGACCTGCGACTTTCAAACCATGGCATTTCAGGGCTGGGATTGTGCATGGATGGGTTACATTGTGATGAAGGTCAGGACAAGGAAAATACGTATATCTTTATTTATTTGTTTGTCAAATTAGGGGGTCTTTGTTGCATGCGTTATAGAAAGTAAATGAGAAACAGATTTCTCACCTTGCATCAGAACAAGTATCCAGTTGTGCCAGTCTCGCATCTCTCCTCACCTCGTATCGACATCTCTGGCGTCATATACCTGTTTGAGTTCCACACTGGGTCCAATCTATATGACCAACCTCAACGCCTGAACCATGCGCATTCTTTCAGGGAGGTTGAAATGCACATTTCAGTTGCGAAAACAGTTGATATAGCAACCCCCCAACAGTTGTCCTTTGCGCAAGGAGGGAGTTGTGAAAGAAAGAAAAAGTTTCAAAGAGTTCCTTGGAAGCACCAACACAAGGTTTCATTTCCTGTTCCCTTCTAGGCATTGATCATCTGAGCGGTTATTCGCTGCTACCCAACGTCGCCAAGCTCAGTTGATGCAGCAAGCAGAAGCTTGATTATACATGTCAGAACTAGAACATGTGATTTAGCCAGTAGATGCATGCCAGTTGGCTCTGTGGAGAGTTGCAGACAGTTGATCATTTATTATGAATGCTCTTCTCCATCTTGATGCTCAAGACTGCCTTGGCTGGAAATGCTCACCCCCAGCGGCCCAGGAATGGCGCGCACCAACTCATGCATCCCTGAAGAAAGGCGGTGGTGGTGGTGGGTGTGGTGGGTGTGGTGTCCATCCGGGAACCTGCAACAGCAGCAGCCAACAACCCACTTTTTCCGATGGGGTCCGAGTCGGTTTGACCAAGGGCGGGCCGTGATCTAGACGAAAAGGGGTCAAGCGGATGGATCGGCCCAGTGGTTGATGCAGCAAGTAAAAGTGGAAGAAGTTAGTGGCTGGTGGTTTGTGATTTGTGATGCGAGGGAGGGAGAGGAGACTTGCTTGTACGTACTTGTATGATGATGGAACTGTTGAGCCATGGATGGATTACCTATTGATGGAAGTCGTCATGGTAGTCAAAATACTCTGTACAAGGTAATGTTTTAGCATCAGACTAATTGCCTTTATATGCATAAACACTACGACCGGGTACTTGTAGTGGAAAAACTATCGCTAAAACCGTCATGTCTTATCGCGGGGTATCGTATTGATCTCACTAGCCCGCTGAAGGAGGTGATGGCCAGTAGGTATGTTGGTTGGCATAGCTCCCTGTATCCATAGCTGAATCACCACCACCACCACCACCAACAACAACCTTCTCTCTCTGCCTTGGAACAGCCCCGAGACATGTTCATGACCAAGGCAACTCCTCGCCTCTTTCTCGCTTCTTCCAACAACAACAACTCGGCCTCGGGTTCAAAAACTCAGAGACTCCCCCACATAAGTTGTTCCGTCACAAATAATAATAATAATTATTATTATAGCATCGTCTACGTATACGTCTCCCTTTGCTTACGTGAACCTAGCTGTGACACACGGGCTTAGTTTGCTTCGCCTCGAAACCATCACGCGTCCCTCTTACATGTACAGAGCATGTATGTATGACATTGCCTCCAGGTTATTCCAAAACAACCCCCAAACAATGCAATCCAGGTACGGAGAACACAGAGAGAAGACGACCCAAGCAGGCCCAGGCCCAGACCATTAAAGGCCCCCCTGGACACATCCATGCCAACGTTTTTCCTTCTTTTTCCTTCCCTTTGCTTATTATTACCTGCTGCTGCTGCTGCTCCACTCAAGCTAATGCACTGACTACACTTCCACCATCCCCCGGGAGTCCGATTCAGCTGCACCTTGGAAAGGGTTGCGCTCATTTGCTCGCGCTCACATCATTGCTTGTCTTGTCTCGTCTTGTGCTTGCTTGTGCTTGTGCTTGTACGTACCTGTGCCTTGGAGACAGAGCCAAACCTGGAACCTTACCTAAACACTTTATCCTGCGCAAGGTGATCCATTCTTCCGCCAGCCAGCCCTCACACTTTTTGTTTCCATGATACCGCCCTCTAGCCTTTTCCCTTTCCTTTCTATTTTCCCTTCCCTTGCGCAACATTAAACCGGCGCATTTGCGCTGACCCTCGACGCTGTTCCTCTCTATCCTGTTCAATCAATCATTGTTATGCGACCAAGTTTCATGTTGATGATCTCAAGCAAGCACGAGGTACAATAGCAATAGCGAGGTAACCCCACCTTCGTACCGACCCTCGACCCTCGACCCTCGACCTCGACCCGCCAAGCAAAGCGACATTAGTATTGCATCGTGACAGGGCTCACCGAGCGTCGCCAACCTGGTTGCTCTGCGCAGTCAGACCCTGTTTGCGGAAAAGGGTCGGAAACAAGAAAAGGAAAAAGAAAAAGAAAAAGAATCAGCAATTAATTACCTTCACCTTTACATTTTTACATTCTGCATTTTACATGCCGACTTCAACACCTCCTGACCTTCTCGACCTGCACCGCACCTCCACTGCCGCCACCTCCAGCGCCATCGTCGTGGCGGAAACGACGAAGACATCGACGACGACATCATCATCATCATGGCCAACACTACGCCCGCCAGCGTAAGGGTCTCTGGCCCTCCGAACCGGAGCTTTCTTGTCGGATACCCAGGCATTTCCGCGACACTGGTACGTTCTTCAGCTGCATGATGGTTTTATTTCTTTGCTTGCATTGCTGCTTTGCGATGGCTTGTTTGGTGGGGTAAACAAGAGGGCAAATCATCCCAAGTGCTGACTGAGACGCAATGTGCATAGCCACGGATCGAGGGCAAAGTCGAAATCAGACCCGGCCAGGGCTTCTCCATGCCGGTACCGGTTTCACTAGTGCGAATATCCCTCCAGCGACGCGAAACAATACATCCCGATGCCGACAGTCTTGCCAAGCGACATTTGGGGACACCGCGCAAGGAGACGACCGATGTAGTGGGCAAGGAGGTGCTGCTGTTCCGCTGCTCGTCGGGCAAGGGTGCCGAGGAAATCATTGCCATGGACCTGCCCTTCGTGCTCTTCATCCCTTTCGGCCGAGGCGGAGAGGAAACCAATCGAAGAATACCGCCCGCCTCGCTGCAGCTTCCTAGCAGGACTGCCGAGACGTTCTACGAGCTGGTCGTGACGTTGCAGCAGGGACACAGCAACCAGTTCAAATACAGCTTTCCCCTCCCTCTACAACGATACGATACGCTGTCGACTTTTGGCATGTACAACAAACCAGAGTCGAAGCTAATAACGACTGACAATCTCATCAACCTGGGCATCAACCTACCACGGTGGAGTTACGGTCCCAACGACCCTATAACGGTATACATCAAGTTATCGCCAAATCTGGATTGGATGAAAAAGGCCAGGAGAGTGACGATAGACAAGATTAGTCTTACCATAGAGGAGGAAATTACCTACAACCCGGAAGGGGACGAGCCGACGAAAAAGATCAACAAGTTGGCCAAGCAGGTGCAGCAGGTAAAACAAAAGATGCCGGATGCGGGCTATGCGACCAATATTGGACTAGTATTTCCATCAAAGGATTTGAGGGACCCCGAGGGTATCATCAAGAGGGGCAAGCAGGCTTTTCCGCTCTATGAAGTCACATCCTTCACAACTACATCTAGCCTCTATAAAATAGAATTTTACTTGAATATCAAGGTGAGTCTTGTTCTTCTCTGAAGAGCGATTTAGAACTAATTGTAGATGTAGGTCCAACTGAGTGGTGCGCACGACCTCAACTTGCGCCAGCCAATTGTCATCTGCCCACTGGATCAGCAAGGCTGTAAGGAGGAGATGGACGCTATTGAGCAGGCAGCCAAGGAGGCCTCCCACGTTGATCCAAACAATCCCATGCTCCCGGCCCACTCGATTATTCTGGCTAATGATCGCGATTCTTTGAGGGCTTTGGGACTGTGCATGGTCGGTGGACAAAAGAAGCCATTTATCGAATGATGCGCAGGCCGCGTCGTTGAGATATGAGAACTATACTGGCGGTTGTTTTCAGACAACATGCCACAACGGGTCGGTCACTCCAGAAAGTAAAGACACCGTAGTCAGTGCCGCGCCCATATGGGCATGCGGTACCACAGCGTCAAGACTCGACCAGACGAATCAAGCCGGGCTCCAGAGACGATCTGCGATACGGGGAGGGGGTTGAGAAGTCTCCCCAAACGATGAGGGGTAGCATATACCCGAGAAAGGCGTTTGACAGCTCACATTGGGTGAGACTGGACGAGGATTCTTGATACAGGGCATAATGAACTGGCGTTTTTAGGAGGCTGGAGGGTCAAGCTCCAGAAAGTTGCATTTGGAGAATCGGAATGGATGTACATGTGATCTGGTATGGACCATGGTGTTTGATGTAAAGGATGCGGATTTTGGCGTATGGCCATCTTCACTTTGACTTTTGTATGGAACGACGCTTGAATTTGAGGAGATGCTGGACGATATCCACCTTTTTATGCTCTTTTAAATGCACGTGTTTTCTTACAATGTTGGAGCTGAAGTTGTATGTCAGATGCAGTAAACCAGACAAAGGGACGATGTGTAATCAAAATTACTGAAGCTGCGGCCTGTATAAAAGCATTATAAAACGAATCCTTTAATGATACGGAAGACACAAAACTGGCAAAAAATCAAAAAGTAAATGCGAGCCGTAGGGATCGAACCTACGCGGGCGATGCCCATTGCGGTTCAAGTAATACTATGTAGTAGCTACCTAAACACAACGCCTTAACCACTCGGCCAGACTCGCTATTCCGCATTTGAGTTAAAATACGTTGAACTCATTCACACTATAAAGAAAATTTGCAGTGAGAGAAATTTCCGACATCCCACCATCGACCCCACCATCGGAAGTTCCAGGCTTGCGCAGCCTTTTTTTCTGGGAAATTTCAAGCTTGTGACTCGATGACCATGAGCCTTTTCTGCTGAAATTTGCGGGGAGAGAACTGGTTTTCTGTTTATGTGAGATTTTTTGTGCCTGGAAATTAAGGGCGAATAGAATCAACAGCTAGCTGCATCGCCTTTTCAGTTGGTCTGAACTAACTCGAAGCGCAAACACATTTCAACTTTGCGACGAAGCTTTACAACCGCGGGCGAAAGCTTTCCGAGACGAGCTTTTCGGGGTCACAACCATGCCTTTCGACGATGATGACGATCCCCTTTCCGTAGGGGCGGTACCCACCCAAGATGGCGACGGCGCCCCTGCTGAGGAAGCGCTGGAGGACGACATGCCCGACTACAAGCTCTTCATGGCCATGTTCGAGAAGAAGGGCGTATCCAGCAAAACGATCCGCAAGGGAGAAAAGGACTTTGAGGCGCACGGCACCATGACGCAGGAGAACACTCTAGAGACTAGCAGAAAGGCACTGGAGGACGTGCTCAGCTATACGAGAATACACAAGCAGGATTCGTGGGCCAGGGGTTGGTACTTTCCGGACTTTTGGACAGAGGAGGAAAATGTTGCGAATGATTACGAGGGGATGCGGTTGGACGATAGGGTGGTGGTTTTGGAGCACGAAAAGGGCAGCTGGATGAAGGATATCGGGAGAGTTGCTTCGGGGAACAAGGACCAGCTTGGTGTTGGCAGACTGTGGCTGCTGCCAGAAGAAGCGCTCTATCTTATCGAGAGGGGGACGCTCGATCTATGGTGGCCTTCGATGGAGTTTGGGGAGCTCTTACCAAAGAGCACGACCACAGGCGGACAACCTCGAGACGGGTTTGGACCCGACGACTACGAACCAGGGCTGCCGCTGAGTCTGGAGGCTGCTTACTCTCTCCTCATCGGCTTCGAGGGTGAGCGAGGAAAGACTACGTTGCCGAAATACCAGGTCTACACGCACCTGAAAAGAGCAGGCTTCAACATTCTACGCGCACCGCTGGAGGCTCCTAAATCCGAAGTCGCGCCCACATCCCAGAGCCTATGGCAATGGCTCTTCTCCTACATCAACTGGGAAACGCAGCCCAAGCAGAAGCCCTTTGGTCCGCTCGTAGCTCCGGGTTTATACCGCGCCTACCGTCCCATCTACGCACAACTCGCTCTCCTTCCTCGCCACAAGCCCCTCTCCTTGCCGCCCGCCCAGCCGCCCGCCACCACCCCGCAGGAGCCCTTCAAGGTGCATTACCACGTGTGGAAACCCGCGGGGGGTTCTCCAAAAGTCGCCCCCTCCGCCGGACTTCCGCATCGCGGTGGCGGATACGGGTGACTCGTATGTTCCGACGCTGGAGCAGGTGACTACGCTGCTGGAGTCGACGCCGTACGACCCCGCACCCGAGGGGTGGCAGGTCCCGCACAAGCTGTACCAGAGGTTGAAGCATGGGTACAGGAACGTGCTGGTGGCGGTGGTGGATAGGGGGCTGGTGAATTTCATGAGGTTCGGGGAGGGGGCGTTTGGGGAGGAACGGCTGTTTGAGAGGTTCGATGGGAGAGGTGCGGGCAGAGGGGGAAGAAGGGCGGGAGGGGAGGCGGGAGGGGAAGGGGTAGAGGCGGTAGAGGGAGAGGAGGACGAGGACGAGGCGGCTAGTGGGTGATATCTGCAGGTTGTGATGCAGATGGCACAGGCAGAAAAGTGGCCAATCGTCTGAATGCAAAAGCAAGCAAAGGAGCTTCGAAACAGTTGCAAGCCGAGTTTAGACGCACTGTCTTGTCTTGTCTTGTGTCTTGCCTTGCCTGCCAAGGTTCCCATCAGCCTTATTTCCCCGTCTCTGTGCATGTTCCGCACAGATTCCCGCATTTGGGGTACGGAGTGTTTACGCATTGCCCGCACGTCGTGCTCGGTGTCTTTAATTGATCCGTCACACTCTTGGTGAGAGAGGGAGAGGGGGGAAACAGAGAGTGAGAAACAGGGAAATAGAGACAAGAAGAGGCGTGAAGGGTACAAAGAAAAAAGAAAAGTCTCGAGGCCGTACAAGGAAACAGGGCCGAAAGTGGGATGAGTGAGTCATGGGAACTGCAAGTGGCTGGATTTGGGTTCCCTTTTTTCTCTCTTGTCGTTTATCGGATCTGTTCCGTGTAAAAGCGCATGTTTAAGGGCGAGGGAGACGGTATAGTGGTTTGTAGGAAACAAGGGGGGGGAGATTATTCGATTGTGTGGCGTGGAGAGGTGTGAGTTGAGGCTTGTGTGACCTGAGGTAAAGGAGATTTGTACTACGGCGGTGGATATGATGGAATGAATGTGATGGAATATTTGAATTTACTTTACTGTACAGAGTATGCATGATAAGAATGATGAGGAAGTGGATGAAGAAATTTGAACATGTTTGGCCACTCGGTTTCAGGCAGACACAGAGAGAGCGAGATTGCAAATTGAAACTGGCATTGAATTACCCCGTCCGGTATCTTTCGAGATGGGCCGTGGTGAGACCCCCCAAAGGAGGGAAGGGGGATATCCACAGGTCAGATTTAGAGGCTGCACGTAATCGACACCGACGGAGTTGAGAAGCAAGAAGGCATTCAAAGTCCTGAGCATCTAAATTACACTGTAGATACGAGAATACGAATATTTTTCTTTCTTTCTTTCTCTTTTCTTCTTTCTTTTTTCTTCTTTCTTTTTTCTTTTTGAGAAATGGGGGTTGTGAAATGCATGAGATCCTTGTAGACTTGGAGGGCCACTGTTTGCGCTCGTATACTAATTGATTTCATTTGCTCAATGCTCTTTCGTGTCTTTCCTGGTACGGGTTATTACCATAACGAGTTACCTAGTATTCTACTACTATTATAAGACTTGGCTGACTGACTTTGGCCCAGTTCTGAAAATGCACACTCAGCTTTTTTCCCTGGACAAATTCAGCAACGCTAATAAACTAGAGTAAGGCGAGGGTGTTGCTTAGCTCTTGTCTTTTCTTTTTGATTGAACCCTTGTTTATGGCAATGGCAATGGCTTATCCGGGCAATTGCTTATAGCTGTTGTTGGTCTAGCCAGTTGCACGCAAAGACCTTTTTTTGTTTCTTTTTTCTCCCTCTTTTTCTCTCTTCTTTTCTTTTCCTTCATACTTGTACAAGTACCAAGTCTTTTTGATGGTGACGGCCAGGTTTGGCTTACCTCAGAGATGACAAATCTTTTTGATGATGTGAGTTGAAGATAATAAAAAATCAAGGGGCCGGGTTTGTGATGGCTTGTACTATGGTGTGGTGAGCGTGAGCGTGAGCGTGAGCGTGAGCGTGATTGCAATGTGATGTGATTGTGATGTGGTGATCTGTCTCTGATGATGGAAACTGCATAGGTAGGTGGGTAGTACAAAGTACAGATCTTTCATTCACACACACAACGCACAACAGCAAAGTATGTATTTAAATTACAGAATCTGCATCTCGCGTTGTGACGGCGGGTGTGTGTATTGGTCTTGTCCCCCCCGCCCCTTGCCTTGTCCTCCATGCACAGAACCAATACAGCATAAATCCAACCAATCCAACCAGAAGAAAAGAAAAGAACCAAGGAAAACCAAGAAAGAAAGAAAAAAAAATCTTCATCAAATCGCAATTCTGCACTCGTAACCGCATTGCATATGATTTGCCAAGATGTGCGGGCAACAACCACGCCCCCTCTTTGACACGCACCCCCAATTCACAGTTCACATTCACAGGCCTTTTTCTATCATCTCTCATATTTACGCCTCGACAATCGAACACCCATCGGACACACAAGTAAGGTGTTGAAACTTGTCGCCCTGCGCAGAGAGTGTGGGCTTGACCCCCCTGTTGATGAGCCAGTCAGGCAACTCCACGCCTGTCCAAGGGTAGGTACTCCACCTTGGAGAGACATACATAAAAACCACACATCATATTTTACATTTTACTACTATGTTGTGTTTTTGCTTGTGCGCGCAGGTATTACCATACCCGAGTTTTCCATCTGCAACAGAAAGAAGAAGAAAAGAAAAAAGAAAGAAAAAACAGACAGAAATGGTGGATTATGACATAACTCAACTAAATCGTATATGCCCCCATCGGGTTTTGTGAGTTCCATGGATAAGCTGGAGAGAAGAAAAGAAAAGTGGGTTTGTCCGTCGGGGGTGCCCTTTGAAGAAAAGTTGCGGATATGTGGCCTGTGGAGTCTTGGAGTTCTCGGACTTTAAAAAAAAAGAAGGAATATGTGCAAGTACTACAAGTAGCAGAAAGAAGGAGAGGATACGGGGAATTGGGCCTCCCCCCCCTTGGAAACGATGGAATGATGCCTAGTTTCGCTATGACTGAAGGGCGTAGTGAACTCGCACCACCTCGTTTACACACACTTCGGCAGCTACCGGCCATCGGGCGACACCGTCCTCTGTGTGTGTGTGTCTCTCTCTCTCCGTGTGCGTGTTGATATTGATACTACCAAGCAATACAAGGACGAACAAAAAAGGGAAAGAAAAACGAACTGAGCAATCACGAGTTGCGTAGAGTTCAACTCGAGTCATGTTTACATGGGTTCCTTTTTGGTATTGATACACATAAGGTACTAGGTAGGTATATACTAGGTAGTACCGAAGAGCCGGTCGTTTCTGCTAATGTACCGAGTTGCATGTGCTTTGCTTTACTTTGCTGAGATGGATGGATGGCGAGTTGATGACATTCCAAGTTGCTTAGAGGGAGGGAGATGCGAGGACAGGAAACTAGCTACATGGCAAGTCCTTGGGAAAGCTGCACTATGCACTGCACCATGACTTGTGTGTGTGTCTGGGAAAATGTTTCCGAAATTAAGAGTCTTTAACTCCGTGACATTGAGGGTCTCCTTTTTCTTTCTTTCTTCTTTTTTCCCTTTTTGGTGCAGG